AAAGGGGAGAGGGGGGGGGGGGGGGTATCCTTTCTGTGCAGAAGATCTAAAAACCGTTTTTTTCTCGCGAAAAATACTAAAAAGGGGGTGGGTGTACCCGGGCTAAGGGGGAAAGATTCCGTGCAGTAACATCGTGGACACGATCTGGCGCGGTTCCCTGTTTAGCGGGATGCCCTCAAAAGTGTTTCCAAAACCCCGTGGCACGACTGCACGCCGGTAGTCACACATAGCTGCCAATCAATCCGGTTTAGCGGCGATTCCCTCTATGGACCGCTGAACCGGCACCACATTGAAATCCAAACGGAGGCTACGGCAAGCTAAGGCTAAGGCACGTAGATCACGGGACGAGGGCGACAAAAGACGGCAGTATGATGAAACAATCTGCTTGAAATGCACCCCCAGCCGCCGGTCTGTTTCGCCTCTCCCAGCGCCGTGCAGCAACGGAATGGGAAAACACAATCAAACACCATCTGACGGACCGGCTGCCTGACGCCGGCTACAGCAGCACTCAATCAACCGAAACGGAGTGTCTTTCTCGGAGAAGGTTCTCCCGTCTCGCGCGGCTCGACATCATCGACCAAAACACTGCCGTCGCCGAAGCATCGAAGGAAACGGAGGCGGGAGCTTTGCACAAGTACGCCCTACGGGAGGGGGAGCATCCCGAATTACGGTACATTGAAATCAAGTTAACTCATTGGGTAAAATAGGTACTCGCATATACCGCCGTATGGATATTGCTGTGAACGGGCCCGTGAATGATGCCGCAAAGTGGCTGGAAAATGTGTTTTTTGTTGAAAATGTCCTCAACATCAACTGAGAAGTGCACCGTGCACGTCTTCCCGTACCCCTACTATGCAGGAAAACGTTGATCAGGGTACTGTGGTACATGAGCTCCATCATCGAACGAATGACGGGAGTCTCGAAGGAACAACACCCATGAGTGAGTTTTTTTGTCGGAAGGTCACAAGCACCTCCGATCTATCGTGTCGATCCCGTCAAGTCATCTGCAGTGGCTGCCGAGATGTTCTGGCCTGTCGATTCTGGCATGGACACCCAGGAGTTTATCCGGGGGAGACAACACACTTTCCCGATTCATTGTAGGAGGAGGGCTTGAAACCATGCCAGACAAACCAAGTCATACCGTATTGTACCCCACCTGCTGTAGTATAGACAGAGGGCTTGAAACCAAACCACGGACGAAACCAAGTCATACTACTCCTCCTGCTGTAAGCACACATAGGGCTTGAAACCAAGCCAGGCAAACAACCAGGTTACCCTGTAGTAGACGAAGGGCTTGAAACAAATCCAGATGAACAAGCGTAGTTGCACTACTAAAATAGTACTCACGTTGCCGTAGGCCGAGGGCTTGAAGCCAAGCCAGCCGGCGGCGTGTACGCTGATAAACCTGGGGACGGTGGTCAGCAACACCTCCTCCGAGGCGCGAGTGGCGGCCGCGTCCCCCGGGACGTACGTGAACCTGGCCAGCCGGTTGCGTTGGTTCTCCTGCAGAGGAAGGAGGGTGCGACTGAGAACAACACACTTTTTAACGAAACGACTTTGGCCATAGTCGCGAACCTTGGCGAGCCGGTTGAGAAATATTACACCTTCACGATACGATTTTGACGATAAACTTGACTTTTGTTGAGCCGGTTGCGTCGCGTCTCCTGTAGCGCACGGAGGGTACGCGATAAAGTTAAGAAACAAACCAAGGCAGGTTCGGAATTTGGCGATACAGGTAAACTTGGCGAGCCGGTTGTAGCATATACCCTGAGAACTCTCCTATGCGTACAAACAAACCGACAGCAGAGGCGGCAGCGACGATGACAACCAACCGACTGCGACCACACCGAACGGATAAACAACAAAACACCAGCACCGCCGGCGGGCCGGCCGCCGGCCTATGCAAGACTTACGCCGTCGTCAAGCAGGACCGTGTAGCTGACGTAGAAGTACTGCGGGTAGGAGTTGTCGCCGAACATTGGCCCGAATGCCACGTCCAGAAGACCCTGTCCAGGCACACACGCAAACACCAAAAAACAAAAGGGTTGGGCGCGGCAGCACTCCGCATGTATGCCCACAAAGCGCTCACAGCGGCATGGCGTTTCGTTAGCAAGGGAACGGGAGAGGTTGGGTGGCAGCGCTCCGCAGGCCAAGAGCGCAACAGTTTCGTTGGCATAGCTTTTTCTAGAGGAAATAAAGAAGGGACGATACTCCGTAAATTCCGCAACACCAACAAATTCCTCGGCAAAAAACCTCAAGCTCGACAACAAGACCAGTCACTCGACATTCTTCGCAACCTCGAACGCCCCCCCCCCCTCGGCCTTGTTTGCCATCGGGGGTTGGGTTTTCGTCGCTTGGCAACGACGTTGTAAAACAAGCCAATTCACTTCGTGAACTCGGCAACCAGGTTACGTTTTTTTTTTTTACCTCGGTTTTTGTTTTGGCGGTAACCATGAATGGTGGTCGAGTAGATCATGTTGTGCGGGGTCGAGAACCCTCACTCCGCGCAACGGGGGATGATCGCACCACGTTGTGTTAAAATGGTCAAGCTTCCTCGAGGCAGTTACACAGTGATTACAACTGTCTCTGGAAGTGAAAGCACCAGAAAGTAAATTAAGTCATACGCAGCTGTCATCAGTACGCAAGGAAGTAAGCACAAGATGCCGAACACCCTTCGCAGGATGCAGCTCACCCTTCATGCGACTCGCCAAATACCTCACGGCGCTTCGCGCTTGGTGATGTGAGAGCCTGGTCCGGTGCGAACCCGGCTTGCTCCGTCCCGGCATTTGTAGGGATGGGAGGTCAATGGTCAAACGAATTCGGCATGCCCGACTATGTAGTACCCCCCCCCCCCCCCCCAAAACCTCAATAACGACAGCAGCAACAGTACTCAGTCAGCGGCCGTTTTATGCAATCTTGAAACTCGCCGCACCCCCCCCTGCTCCGGTGAGAACCCCGCGTGCTCCATCCCGGCTCTGCAGGGATGCGAGGTCAATCAATGGTCTAATGACTAAGCCCCCCCCCGCCCCCTTTTTTGCAATCGTGGACCCCCCCCACGCACCTCCTCGAAGTCGACGTAGAAACTTCCTCCTGAGGGGACCGGCCCGGCAACGTGGATCACCAGCTCAGACTCATCCATGCTGTCCGAGTTCACCTGCACAAGAGACAGAAAAAAAAATGAAAAAGAAGCGTTTAGCCAATCAGCTGACCTGCACGTTGCGAAAAAGGAACAAATACTGAAATATTTGCCAGCCATTCAGCTGTCCGAGTTCACCTGTGCACGAGAGAGAGAGAGGAGAGAGAGGGGAAAACAAATGAAATGAAAAAAAAAGCCTGTCATATCCCACAACCGACGAGGGAATCGACAACTCCTCACTCGCGCTACATTATGCTTTCTTGGCAGCGACTAATAACATCTTTACAGATGTTGCCAACCCCAAGCTGACGATCAGCCCTTGGCGTGGACCACTGTCCGTGCAGATGGCGCGTGCACTTTTAAGAATTTGGCAGCTGCTGTAAGACAATATTCAGCCTCGAAAATCTCAGCAACTAAGAAGTTGAGGATGTAGTTAGTGAGCCCGGTTGAGAACCCCTATACCAAATCCTACTCGTATCTATTAGCGGCCATTTGTAGTCCACGAGAGGAACTAAAAACCCAAGCCTTGGACAAAACTACTGTAGAGGCTGTTGAACTGCGAACGCTACCTGTATCGCGCTCCCCCACCGAGCTGCGACCATCAACAACAATAAAAACACCGGCTGCGCTGGTGGTGGCCAGAGGTCAGGTTGCGGGTGAAGGTTGGACACCGACTATTAACCTGGGGGGGGGGGGCGGAGGTTGTACCCCGAAGTGCGAAGGTGTTCCCGCATCTCGAAGATGTAGCATTACTATTCCAATCGGCGCGGTCGGTTGGCAACAGCACAGACAACTAAAAATGTGTTGAAGGTCGACCCCAGCCTCCCAATCCTCCCTACCCAAGCCTTGGCAGGTTGCGATGGTGCACGACTTACACCTCTGGCCATCAATCAGTATCTTGTCCGCTCACCGCGTAGATTTGTCCCGAGATACCCAGCAACCACCATTGGCTACCGTCCGGAGTCTGTTCGTTCGAGGCACACAGGGGACATCAACAGAACAATTGGGGGCGGGGGGCGGGGGGCGGGGGGGTTGACCATGCCATCGCGACGCAAGGTATAAACGAGTGAGGTCCGATCTCCGCGCCAGTTGCTTTTTTTTTATCCACTTCGCGTAGCGACGTAGAAAGAAGCAGGGATCCAATCCGAGCTTACTCCGAGTTTCTGTTGTTGTTGTTGTTGTTGTTGTTGTTGTCTTCACACTAAACAACCGTTCCGATCTCTCAACACTTGGCGCGGTCGATTCACGTGGTCACAGGCGCATCAACACCCTGCCCGACCTGGACGTGTCTGTCTCCCGACGCGTAATCAGAACCCACGCCCACCTGTCTCATGCTGACGGTATCATCGGGCTGTTCGTTGGCGCCCAGGTCCGGGAATAGCTTGGAGTACAGGTCGCAAGTTACCGCTGACATGTACGGTAAGGATGCGAGAGGAGACATGGGGGTGCGATCGACTTTTACATGATTTCGTCATTGACTTGTTCTCGCAAGGGGATGCGGTATCAGTATCACCGATCCCAGAGCGATAATCGAAAAAAACGCATGTCGTTCTTGTTTTTTTTTATCGCACGCGGGTGGCGATACCCACCGGTATGTGCGATATCACCGAACCGTGCATTCTCTCGCACCCGTATCTACGTTATGTACGGAACGAACCATCAGTTAAGAACTTGTGTTAGGAAAAAGCCCGTAAAGTAACAGTCAAGAAAAAGAGCGTAAAATATCCCTAAACGCAACACCTTGGCCATAAGAATAGTTTCTCAATCAAGACGCCTACACTCCCACCCTAAAACCTAACGTACGAATGGCCGCTGCATGGGCCGTAGTGTATCATGGGTTCTCGACCGAGCTTCCAAATGGTGGCTTGGGGCTCACTTTCTGAACTGCCAGGTTCTTATGTTCGGGGCGCGAACTCTGCACACAACCTCCAGGCACAAAACGCTTCAGAGATTGATTGTAGATGAAAACAATTCGGTAGATGGGTGTGATGGTGTCACGGCCCAAAACCCCAACACTGCTGGGGGTTTCGCAAATCAGCCAATGGGCACAACTCTGTGCCCATGAGCACCCCACGGGCAGCGCTTGGGCCGATTGATTAACAAACCCAAGCGTCGGATTCACGGTCGACGAGGGAACGGGGTGGCCGAGTAGATGGGGCGAACACACACACACACATGTAGAGGGTTTGAGCCACATGACCTTCCCCAAAACCAAAAACGTACAGTAGGGCTAGGGAAGAACTGCCCAGAGATTCTTGTCGAAATCAGGATCAGAATGATGGTAACGAAGACAAGGAGGATAATGATGAAAGTACTCCAAAATGAAATCGAGTGCAAGGTAGCAGCCTTCGTAGACGTGTGCAGTATTTTCTGTTGCTATGTACCATTTCTATTTTTCGTCCGGAGAATAGGTTAGCCTCCCCCATGCGGCCCCCTCACGGGGTCCCAGTTAATGGCATTTAGAAGTGTTTTGTGTTTTCAACAGCACCGAGACTGACGTCTTTTCATTGGTCAGCCGGTTAGCGCGGTCGACGCTAATAACAAAAAAAAACACACACACACACATCTTCCCCTCACGGAATCCCAGATCACGGCCTTTCGAAGCGTTGTGTGTCTTCGACCGCACTGAGACTGACGAGGCCCAGATCACGGCCTTCAAGAAGCACTTCGTCTTTTCATTGGCCAGCCGGTGAGAGCGGTCGATGCAAATTGTGCAAGTATATAAGGACACACACACCAACGAAAGTGTGGGGTGGGGTGGCCCCAGGGCAGAGACTCACCTTCCTCGTAGGGGTACGACCAGAATAAGTCGTCGCCCCCGCCGGTGTGCTTGGTGCAGTAGTCCACGGTGCCGCTATCGTACGTCGGGAAGTCGATCTGGCCGTCGCACGCGGTGACCAGCTCGTCGCAGAAGGCGCTCTTCATGGTCATGCCGTCGAGCAGGCCGAGCTCTGCCGCTAGGTACTCGTACAGGTGGGCGCTGAAGGAGTGGCACCTCCCGCATACCACCTGTTTCGTTTGTTGTTCGTGTTTTTTTTTCAGGAGTCTACGCAGTTTTTTCGAAGTATGCAAACAATACTGCTGGAATAAAGTATTGAACTGTCTTGGAGTTGGGATTGGGGTTAGGCTCTGCGTGCCCCCTCCCCGTGGTCTTTTCTCGTGATTAATATCCTTGCTCGCTTTGCGAGCGTACGTATGTTGGCAGTCCTTTTGTTTTCGCGTTCGTCCACAAAAAGACAAGAATGAGGGGGATACGTATGTAGGCAGTGGCAACACTTCAGTCAAGTAACTACAAGGAGGACACCGAAAGAGGCAACAGACAGTCAAGGCAAAACATTTACTTTCTAGAAACATCCCTCTTTCTAGGGGCCCGCCCGTAAAGACAAGAATCAGACTTAGGGGGAGAAAGAGAGCACCACCAGTGGCAAGACGTCGTCCTTCAGTCGGATGTATGTACAAGTACGAGGAGGGTGGACGAAAACGAAAGGGCCAAGAGACAGTCAAGCCAAAACATCCCTCTCATGGCGCCCGCCTGAAAAAGACAAGAGAGAGATGTTAAGAGAGAAAGTAGAGCCCCACTTTTTAGGTGGCCAGACGCAATTCAGTCCAATGTTTCCAGGGAGGACAAAGAATAGGAGACAGGAGACAGTCAAGGCAAAAACATCCATCCCCCTTTTAGCGTCCGCCCAAGACAAGCAAGAGAAGAGGAGAAGAAGAGAACCATGTCGTCAGTCAGTCTGACGAATGTGCAAGTACGAGGAGGATGAACGAAAGAAGATGAAACAAGAAAATACAGCAGTCAAAGAGTTCCTCCCTCGGTTACAGTTACGGCTGCCTAAAGAAAGTCAGCACTAACCCGTTTTGGCCGACTTCCTTTCCTGGCCAAAGTTAACGTTTAGTTCTCCAACGGCAAACTGGGGTCTTCTAGTCGCGGGCCGAAATAACGGCTTTTGATTTTTGGGACATATTCGCGGAAATCCCATGTCTTCATGTCACACAGAGTGTCACGTTTCGTTCCGTGCACCCACCGCCTAACTGCTGTAATGCGTTGTTTGTCTACGCGGGGGACGGGGGGGGTACTCATAGTCGTGCATGCCGTAGTCGTTTGACCATTGACCTCGCATCCCTACAAAGCCGGGACGGAGCACGCCGGGTTCGCACCGGACCAGGCTCTCACATCACCAAGCGCGAAGCGCCGTGAGGTATTTGGCGAGTCGCATGAAGGGTGAGCTGCATCCTGCTAAGGGTGTTTAGGCATCTTGTGCTTACTTCCTTGCATACGACTGACAGCTGCGTATGACTTACTTTATTTTCTGGTGCTTTCACTTCCAGAGACAGTTGTAAGCACTGTGTAACTGCCTCGAGGGTGCTTGACCATTTTAACACAACGTGGTACGATCATCCCCCGTTGCGCTGAGTGAGGGTTCTCGACCCCGCACAACATGATCTACTCGACCACCATTCATGGTTACCGCAAAAAAAAAAAAAACGCGGGGGAGGGGGGGGGGCGTACTCTTATGTTTTGCATGTCTTAGTGGTTAGACCATTGACCACGCGTCCTCTAGAGGACGGAGCATTGTTCCCACAGGACCGATCACCGATGGCCAATCGTTCCTTCCTACTCTGCCAAAGGTGGCTCAAAAATGTCTTCCCTAGTTTGTCTATCCTAACGATATCCCTTCCCGCTTTTTCAAACCACTTCCTACTCCCCAGTACAGCTACCGTCCTCTCCTCTCTATTCCATGCCTCAAACATCTCCCTGTACCTCCCTTGTATTTTTCCCAGTTCGGTCATGTACACTTCCCTCTCCTCTTCGTACCACGGACATTCCGCGACTACATGAACACGGTCTTCGCATTCGAAGCCGCAATCACATTTGAAGTTGTCGTCTTCGTCATCTACCGTCCTATGTCTTGGTCGACGTTCTCGAAGGCCCATGTCCCCGGTCCTGAATTTGACGTTATGCTTTGTCACTGCATCCATTGGTCCATGTACATAGTCCTTGAACCCTATTCCCTCTTTCAACATTCCATACACTTCTAGACCCTCCTTATCCTTGGTTTCTTTCCTTAGATTCCGTTCTTCTCTCTCGGCACAAGCAACATGTCTTCTTCTTGAACCCCTGTAGACCCTCCGTTTCCATCGTTTCATCTTCGTCGATGTCTAACCCCTTCCATACGTCCTCTACAACCTTGACCCATTCCGTGGGTTGTCTACCCCTCTTTTTGTTTGCCCACTTCGCCTCCCATACTATTCTCGGGAACCTCTCCTCTCCCATCCCGCACATGCGATACTGCCGTGTCAGCTTCCTTGCGTCTCTTCCCGACCGTAGGGATTGGATCCCCAATTCTGACCTTACGGCTGCATTACTTGTGCGCTTGGAGCATCCTAGGATGATTTTCGCTGCTTTCATCTGCGCCGCTTCGAGTTCTTTCACTACTTTCTTATTTCCGTCCCGTACTTCTCCGGCGTACTCTAGCGGCGGTACGATTACGCTCTTCAAAACCGCCAATTTGATGCGTGTATCGAGGTGCCGGTTTGCGAGTATTGGGTGCAGCTTCCCTGCTCGTGCTTTGCCCTTTTCCGCTACCTTGGACATGTGTGCATTCCACGAGCAGTCGTTTGCGATCTCTACTCCGAGGTATGTGTACTGGTCCACTACTGCAATCTCCTCGATCCCCCACTTCCATCTATGTTCTACTGGTTCCTCCCTGTCCTCGTTGCATATCATGACGGCACTCTTCTTAACGTCGGCAGACAATCTCCATTTATCAGTAAACTTCTTCGCCGCGTCAATTTGTAGTTGCAGTCCCTCAGGGGTGTCCGACATACCAACAAAATCATCCGCAAACAGCATTCCTGACACCGAAGTTTCCGCGTCCCCTACTTTTACTCCCTTCCGGACTGCCTCTACGACTTCCAACAGATCGTTGATGAACACCTGGAACAATGTTGGGGACAGCGTGCAACCTTGTGGGACCCCCTGCTCAATGTCGAAGAACTTAGACAGTTGTCCGTCTAGCATGACCGCGCTTTTCGTACACTCTGTCATCTTCTTCAGCACTCTCCACATTTTCCCCTTGATCCCGTACTTGGACAATTGTTTCCACAGCCCATTTCTCCATACGGTATCGTATGCCTTTTTCACGTCCAGGAAGAAGCAGTACGTCGGCTTTCCCACCCTCTTTCTACCTTGGATTATTCTCCCTGCCGTGAATGCGTGGTCTACGCACCCCTCGTTTGTCGGAAACCTGCCTGGCCCTCACTAATGCTACGTTCCTTCTCCAATACTCCCACTATCCTATCGTTCAGCAGCTTACAAAACACTTTTCCTACTGCTGTGTTCAACAGTGTGATACCCTTGTAGTTTACTCGGTCAGTCTTGTCTTCTTTCTTAAACAAGTTCACAACCACTCCTTCCCTCCATCTACTAGGCGCATACTCGTTTTTCCACACCCAGTTGTACAGCAGTACCATCAGCTGGATCATCCCCTTCCCCCCAAA